CATTTTGGCTTTGTTTCTCAGCAACGCCCTCCTATCATACACCATTACACCATTTGATTTCCTGGTCCCAATGATGCCTTACAGTATATTTGGATGAAACATTTTCAACTGTTCGGGCGGAGTAGACTTTCAAAAACTTAAAATCAAAATTATCTCGTTTTGTGTTCAGTCCTCAGGGCTGTGGTGTTACAGTCTTCCTTTACATAATTATTTCCCATGACAAAGGGACCAGGAATGTTCATGGGAAATATGGCTTAGATCTATATACATGTGTATATGGTTATAACGATGGTATTTAATTGATTTCCATGTTATGACCCACGGTATAATTTTGTAGTGCGGGATCAGACCCCTGATATAATCATGGTAGCATCGTTGTGTTCGAATTTTCATGCCAAGCTATCACATATTTGCTTATAAGGTGGGGATACCCATGTTATGGCCCTGTGACTAATACAGGGTAGGGTCAGACCCCTTGGATAATTCTTGTAGCATGACTGTGTTTATCTCTTCCTGTCCAAAATTATTCTATATGCGTTTCAAAGTGGGGATCTCAACCGTTACCAGGCTTTGATCCCGCTACTATGTCTCTAGAAGCAGGTAAGGGCCACAGTGCCAATCATTGTTGCATAAGTGCATTTGTCTCTTCATACCAACTATAGTGAACCTTCAAGAGGTCCGAGAGTAAAACATTTCTATGAAAGCTTGGGGATTGAGTTCCTCAAGAATCTTTCAACAGCGATCTCTCGCAGGGTCCATGGTATTAAATTGAGAGAGATTGAGAAAATAGATGGACCTGTACAGTCCGACCCGATTAATAAATATATTTTTTAAGCGAAGCTTATTAGAGACCAGACAAACTACGGCAGGTTATAAAGTGAAAGGGCTGCTGTGATTTTATAGAACAGCATTCGATGTCGTGGTGGGTCCATATCTCATTGGTTACACAGCAAACGGAATTATGATTGGTCCATGTACAACAGTATACAACGTTGTGATTGGTCAGTTTATTTTGTAATATCACAGAATGTGTACAATGCCCCGTCATTGGTCAAGGTATACTTGCTTAGATAACAAAAATATACGGATAAGTCCAAAAACATGTACTTTTGATATAAGACTATGCCACGTGTATTCTTGTTATTTATTTGTTACCTCGATACCATAGCAAGCCATGTCGTTATTGATCCGTATAATTTTGATACCATAGCAAGCCATGTCGTAATTGATCCATATCATTTTGATACCATAGGAAGCCATGTCGTTATTGATCCGTATAATTTTGATACCATAGCATGCCATGTCGTAATTGATCCATTTAATTTTGATACCATAGCAAGCCATATTGTAATTGATCCATGACATTTTAATACCATAGCAAGCCATGTCGTTATTGATCCATATCATTTTGATACCATAGCAAGCCATGTCGTAATTGATCCATATCATTTTGATACCATAGCAAGCCATGTCGTTATTGATCCGTATAATTTTGATACCATAGCAAGCCATGTCAAAATTGATCCATATAATTTTGATACCATAGCAAGCCATATTGTAATTGATCCATGAAATTTTGATATCATAGCAAGCCAGTAAGAGTCCTGATTGGTCCCCGTTTTGTTATGTTACAGCCAACACTGCCATCAGCGCTGCCCGGGCCTTTGAGGTACTGGCCTTCCTGATGTTTATCGCTATCGTTGTGCTATTGTTCGTCTACCTGAGTACGTTAAGGACCAATCTCCAGCTCGCCAGTGTCATCTGTACATTTATCCTGGGTAAGTGTTGGTAGGAAATGTAAGTGTTATTTCCAATGAATAATTGGATATTTATTCCAAATGTTAAACAAACAAAAAGAAAGTTAAATGTCAAAGTCAGTTCATTTTGACTTCTTTCAATTCGTTTACCAACCTACATTTTTTACAACCTTATAAGAATTGTATCATACAGTGAATCTAACCCTCAATAGACATCGATTGATAAAAGTTTCTAGATATATGTATAAATATAAAATTGTAATGGCATTTACGTGAACATCTCTCTTTATCATTAAAGGGCATTTTAATGTATGTCTCTTTGTATACGAAGATTAATATATTCTGTTTATCGTTACAGTTGCGTTCATCGTTCTGGGTGCTATAATCTATGCCTCGGAGAGGAGCAACCTTAGTTGGTCCTTCGCTCTCTGTATCATTGGTGCCATCCTTGCCTTTATTGCCGGCATCCTTCTTATCATCTATCGCATGCGTGGAGTTACGATGGTGACAGGTGGCGCTGCCACCACACGCACAACCAGGACCGTCACCACCACCGTAGTAGTTCGGTGATGTCACTACCGGTATTGTCATTGTCCAGTTTATGTTTTAAAGGTAGTGTAATAAAAGTTCTCATTGTTAAAATTGATCTACTTAATACATTGTAACGCCATTGTTAAAATGGATCTACTTAATATATTGTAACGTCATTGTTAAAATGGATCTACTTAATACATTGTAACGTCTTTGTAAATATGGACCTACTTAATACATTGTAACGTCATTGTTAGAATGGATCTACTTAATACATTGTAAAGTCATTGGTAGAATGTATCTACTTAATACATTGTAACGTCATTGTAAATATGGATCTACTTAATACATTGTAACGTCATTCTTAAATAGATCTACTTAATACATTGTAACAGCATTGTTAAATAGATCTACTTAATACATTGTAACGCCATTGTTAAAATGGATCTTCTTAATATATTGTAACGTCATTGTTAAAATGGATCTACTTAATACATTGTAAAGTCATTGTTAGAATAGATCTACTTAATACATTGTAACGTCTTTGTTAAAATGGATCTACTTAATACATTGTAACGCCATTGTCAAAATGGATCTACTTAATATATTGTAACGTCATTGTTAAAATGGATCTACCTAATACATTGTAACGTCATTGTTAGAATGAATCTACTTAATACATTGTAACGTCATTGTAAATATGGATCTACTTAATACATTGTAACGTCATTCTTAAATAGATCTACTTAATACATTGTAACGCCATTGTTAAAATGGATCTACTTAATACATTGTAACGTCTTTGTTAAAATGGATCTACTTAATACATTGTAACATCATTGTTAAAATGGATCTACTTAATACATTGTAATGTCATTGTTAAATAGATCTACGTAATACATTGTAACAGCATTGTTAAATAGATCTACTTAATACATTGTAACGCCATTGTTAAAATGGATCTACTTAATACATTGTAACGTAATTGTTAAATAGATCTACTTAATACATTGTAACGCCATTGTTAAAATGGATCTACTTAATACATTGTAACGCCATTGTTAAAATGGATCTACTTAATACATTATAACGTCATTGTAAATATGGAACTACTTAATACATTGTAACGTCATTGTTACAATGGATCTACTTAATACATTGTAACGTCTTTGTTAAAATGGATCTACTTAATACATTGTAACATCATTGTTATAAGGGATCTACTTAATACATTGTAAAGTCATTGATAGAATGGATCTACTTAATACATTGTAACATCATTGTTATAAGGGATCTACTTAATACATTGTAAAGTCATTGATAGAATGGATCTACTTAATACATTGTAACATCATTGTTATAAGGGATCTACTTAATACATTGTAAAGTCATTGCTAGAATGGATCTACTTAATACATTGTAACATCATTGTTATAAGGGATCTACTTAATACATTGTAAAGTCATTGGTAGAATGGATCTACTTAATACATTGTAACATCATGTTAAAATGGATCTACTTTATACATTGTAAAGTCATTGTTAGAATGGATCTCCTTAATACATTGTAACGTCTTTGTAAATATGGACCTACTTAATACATTGTAACGTCATTGTTACAATGGATCTACTTAATACATTGTAACGTCTTTGTTAAAATGGATCTACTTAATACATTGTAACGCCATTGTTAAAATGGATCTACTTAATACATTGTAACGCCATTGTTAAAATGGATCTACTTAATACATTGTAACGTCTTTGTAAATATGTACCTACTTAATACATTGTAACGTCATTGTTATAATGGATCTACTTAATACATTGTAAAGTCGTTGTTAGAATGGATCTACTTAATACATTGTAGCATCATTGTTATAATGGATCTACTTAATACATTGTAAAGTTATTGTTAGAATGGATCTACTTAATACATTGTAGCATCATTGTTATAATGGATCTACTTAATACATTGTAAAGTCGTTGTTAGAATGGATCTACTTAATACATTGTGACATCATTGTTATAATGGATCTACTTAATACATTGTAAAGTTATTGTTACAATGGATCTACTTAATTCATTGTAACGTCATTGTTAAATAGATCTACTTAATACATTGTAACGTCTTTGTCACACTATGGACTTATTCAAGATTACTTGCTTGTCTTAAGTTAACTTTCACAAATGTATAAACAATTAAAAGTAGAAAAACTCCCCAATTTATTTGCTTGTGTTATTGATAAATGACTTACGAAATAAAGCCTTATATACTCTCCTTGGATGCGCCTTCATGTTTCCTTGGTTATTCGGTTCTCAAAAGATTCACGCGTTGTGTTGGCATATACACATGTATATGCTCTAGTCATGTGTTTTAAGAGTACCGATCTTCTGTTAACCCTTTGACTGCATGCCATCTAATGCGTTACCTCCCCAGTTCGGATCCGCCAATGAAGCATAGCCTCAACTCTCTAAACATCTCTTCCTGATATTTCAAACTTTGCCTCTAGTCTTGTGACCTTATCTTTAGCCTGATTGACTTCGTTTTCAGTTAATGATCCTACATCGATTCTTCCTATTTCTATATTTAAGCAGTGCACTATGACTTCCGTCTACTTTTCCGGTTTGGCATATTCTATTCCTTCAGGAGTTTGTGGTGGTGTGTTGGACTGTCAATTCCCGGATATATCAATTAAATTACCATATACAGCAGACCTCACTAGCTTTAACATTGACTTTCTCTTTCATGCCTCCCTTCAATGTTTCGCTTCCGCTACGAGAACGTATTAATTCATGTCATCGGCAAACTATGCCAAAGCTATACCTTTTAAGTACAGCTGTCAAAGTTAAGGTAGAAAAATCCCTGCAATCTGATCTGGTGGTTAACTTGTTCACACTTTCGTTATCGAACTTTGCTCACTCATTGTACATGTGGAGACCCCTTTTTCAGCTCATTTCCTCAAATATTATGGTTGTCGGATGTACACTAGAGGTATTACAGTGTTTTCCGACAAATCAAAATCATAAGACTTATTACAGACTGTTTCTACCGTTCTGTTGTGTTGATGAGTTGGGCGTGGATCAAGGATTTTTAAAAGGAATAGCGCAAATGTTCATAACCAAAATCTGACACGGCATCAAGGTGGTTTGAAGTAAAATAAAAAATATCGAATGGAAAAGGGGGCGCTAAAGGGACTTAGCTAGATTCACCTAAAGGGGACGGAGGACACGTGAGATACAATATACTTTTCACTCGAGATCCTCCCCTAAAGATGCACAGATTGATTACTGGTATTCCTTAAACAAATAATTCCCAAAATGATCATCTCGTCAGGGTGGATGAATATATGCCCTATAGTGCTTCTGTCCAATTGTGTAAAAGTTAATTGTTCAGTGAAATCCCAGACAAATTTGCATATAATACAACACAATATTTTGCAGATAAGTTAATAGTGTTAACACACAGCTGTGGTGAATTAAGGTCCTGTCTCCTTACACACTAGTAGACGATGAAGGTTTATGTTATAAGGACATTAATGATTACAATACTTCTATATCACATAAACCTGGTATCTAACTGTGACCACATTGAGACGTGCAATCTGATCATTTTAAGTTTCATGAAACACAGTCTACACAAACACTTACATTGTACAGCAGTTTTAAGAGGAGTATACACACAGGAAGTCACTTGTTAGTGTCAGAACGTCTACACCCACTGAGGCTATATATAACGACTATTGTGTCTTGAGTCAATTCCCTAGCTATTTCCTTACCGACAAAGTTAACAAAAACTTGTTTTTAACAACACCTTTTTTTAATTCATTAGCACTTAAATCTCTTGCAGTACACAAAATAATCGCATAGTACAAACTTTTACTCACACCACCATTTCATTTCTCACTCTCTTCAACTTTTACATCAGTACAAGTATATATCCTGATGAAATCGCCCCTTCACTTCCCTTCCCATCATGTTCATACATTAATGACCCTCCCCTCCTACCATGTTCATACATTCATGACCCTCCCTTCCTACCATGTTCATACATCAATGATCCTCCCCTCCTACCATGTTCATACATCAATGATCCTCCCCTCTAACCATATCATGTTCATACATTAATGATCCTCCCCTCCTACCATGTTCATACATTAATGCCCCTCCCCTCCTACCATGTTCATACATTAATGACCCTCCCCCCCTACCATGTTCATACATTAATGACCCTCCCCCCCTACCATGTTCATACATTAATGACCCTCTCCTCCCATCATGTTCATACATCAATGATCCTCCCCTCTAACCATATCATGTTCATACATTAATGTTCCTCCCCTCTAACCATGTTCATACATAAATGACCGCCCCCCCCCCCTTCCATCGACCTCCCCTCCCACCATGTTTATACATCAATGACCCTCCCCTCCTACCATGTTCATACATCCATTACCCTCCCCTCTAACCATGTTCATACGTAAATGACACCCCCCCCCTTTCCATCGACCTCCCCTCCTACCATGTTCATACATCAATAACCCTCCCCTCCTACTATGTTCATACATCAATGACCTTTCCCTATCTACATGTTCATACATCCATTACCCTCCCACTCACATTGTTCATTCATCAATGATCCTCTCCTCTTAAAATGTTCATACAGCATTGGTCATCCCACCATATCCACAAGTAATGATGATATAATTTTTTGTAAATTTCAGTGTTTTACAGATAAAGATTGCTAAGTATTGCTTTTTCATGGATATTGATCAGTGTGAAATAGTCCTGCATATACTGATGTATGACAAAGTATGACATCAAGAACTTCCTCCAATCTGGTCCACCAACCCACTGCCTTCTACACCATTGTAGAAAAAGAAGTTGTTGTGAGGTTTATCCTTATGTGAAACAGCCTGAAACATATAAACCTAACACTTTTAGGAAAAATGTTCTCAGGAATTTTATAAAATTCAAATAAAGTTTTAAAGACTGTTTTGATTTAAAACATACTTAATAGTACGAAAATTAAAATTAAATAGGAGATACCATACCTTGATGATTTCTTGTCCCAGGATTCCTCCAACCACAGCACAGACAGGACTAAGCTCAGCAAAACAGTGGCTGTCAACAAATCAATATCAACACCTGAACCACAAACCTACCATATCATACTAGTGTCAATGTACCACAAACCTACCATATCATACTAGTGTCAATGTACCACAAACCTACCGTATCATACTAGTGTCAATGTACCACAAACCTACCGTATCATACTAGTGTCAATGTACCACAAACCTA